TACGGGAGTAGAAAGCCTCATCTTTCTCCCGCGGAGTGGCTGGTAGTTTCGAACCGCTGACCTTAAGGTTCGCAGCCCGATTCGTAACCACTACGCTACCAGAGCTCCTTGGACTCATAGAAAGTATAAAATTCAAGGGAATGGAAAGAGGAGGAGGAGAAGGAATAAATAAAAATAATGAAACAACAAAAGGAAAAAACTAAACCCAAATTCCAAACAAAAACAAAAACAACAGTGCAGCTGTTGGACGCAAAAGGAAAAAAGTCTTTCTGGGGGTGAGGAGGGGTGGGGGTGGGGTGGGGTGGTTGTGCACCTGTCATTTTAGGAACTCATAAGGTGGGTGTAGGAGGGACGTGACAGCAGAGTTCCTAGCCCTAGATGGAAGTTCCTATCTGCCTCGGTGTTATCTATGTCCAGGGCACTCAATCTATACGTTTTTGAAGGCCTTTAATGGAGCTGATTTCAATGCCTGTTAGGATCACAGGGCAGCTAGGGCCAGGGTGACTGGTTAAATTCTGGTCTGGTGGCTCTGTGGGTTCTGTAGGTCCTAAGCTAACCCAAATCCAGGCACCATAATGGTACAGCTGGCCCCTGCCTCTCAGTGGTGTGGCTCCCACCCATGTGACTCCACACTTCCGGAGAGCAGGGTCTGTGCTGGGGATGGATGAGGGTGGGAGCTGACCACACATCTGGTCACTTGGGGAGCGTGGGGAAAAAAGGAATCACACCTATCCCATCACCTGTCTGACTCTGTTCTGCCAGGCCACCTTTTGTTGCCAGAACTGCTAATAAAGGTGCAAGATGGTCACACTGTATCTGGCTGGCCATTCGCCCTCTCTTGCTGTCCCTGCTCAGCTTCTCCCAGCAAGTTCTCAATCCTCTTCTCTTAATCTGTCTTCTGAAATACAGGGTTCCAGAATTTTCATTTGTGTTTGTTTCATTTGGTCTCTTGTACCTTTGTTGTGAGTCCTGGTTGTGGTGCTGTAGGATAAGCACTAGACCACAAGGTCATTCTGAACCACAAGGCCAGTGGTTGAAATTCATCAACTGCCCCTCGGAAACCCTATTATAAGTTGGAAATGACTTGACAGGCTCTTAACAACAACAATCCTTGTTGTTGATAGTCCGTGTAGTATGTCTGCCTTGTCCGCCATCTTTCTGTAAGTCATCTGTTGGACATCTAGATTATTTCCACCTCTAGGTTGTTGTTAACAATACTGCCATGAACATTGGTGTGTATGTCTGTGTTTAAGTCTCTGCTTTCGAGTCTTTTGTGTATATAGCTAGGAGTAGAATTGCTGGGTCATATGGTAGTTCTCTTCATTTTTT